AGAGAAGAGCCAATGACTGGAGTGCTGTGCAGAGACATGCGTGAAACGCAGGTGTTTGCTGAGGCGGTCGGCTCGCTTAGTCATATTCACGGGACCCGTGGAACTTTACAGGCACGGGTACCCGTGAACCTATTGGGAGCCTACCTACCTGAATGGCTTACCTAAGGTAGCGAGATCGGACTGTCTTCGTGGATGCCTGGATGCGATGCAGACGTGACAATACTACAGCAGGGGAATAATCCTGCAGCAGGATGACTGACATGGATTCAATATAGACAAGCAACACAATTGGGCGCCCAAGCGAGCGCAGCGGGCAGACCGACGAGGCTGTTGTCATCTGCCTAACTACTATCCTTCCAATTCTTCGTCCATGACTCTTCAAACCATAAACGACTGAAAGGGAGTGGGAGTGCCTTCGGAACCATGGAATCCAACACAACGGTCTGCGGCGTGTGTCAAAGCTCCATCTTGTCCATGGACTTTGCCAACGAGAACATGGGCACGGAAGCACCCCACCACCTAAGCTTAGAGAGCCTGAGAAGATCCATGGAAGCCGGATGCCACATTTGCACCACATTTTGGGCTTTGCACTCGTCCAAGCTGAGAAAACCATCCGACGATGCTGATATCGAGTGGGACTGTGAGTTTGATACAACAAGCCTTTTGTTCCATGGCGACTGGCCTTATGGCGGTTTCTTGGCTGAACGTATTGGTGTATGCCCAAATTTCAAGGTGAGAAATCGCTCTTGGGAGGACGAGGCTGTTTTCTTTTTATCCCGAAAGAACCGTGAGATGTCTTCCCGACGGTAATGTCTAAATGTTGCATCAAGCCTAGGTATCTGACAACTCCACCAGCGGCATTCCAGCCCAAAGAGCTCTCCCGCCGTACAGATTCTGAAAGCACCTTCTCAATCGCGAAACAATGGATAGATCGATGCTTCAACGAGCACAAGAAGTGCAACCCCCCGCTACAAAAAGATGCAGCGCGCTTCCCAACTCGGCTCCTGGACTGTGGGCATCCTGACGACCCAGCAGCACTGGTGCGCTTGGTTATATCCGCTGAACAAACTATTCGAGAGCCGTTCATGACCCTCAGCCATTGCTGGGGCTCTGCAGATTGTCTTGTTCTCACTACCGACAATATTGACGCATTCCGACGAGAGATACCCACAGAGCAGCTTCCCCAGCTCTACCGAGATGCCATATCCACCACCAGACGACTGGGTGTCAGGTACTTGTGGATTGACTCGCTGTGCATCATCCAGAGAGGAGATGAGAAGGCGGATTGGCTGGTCGAGTCGACGCTCATGGACCAGGTCTATTCCAACTCGTACTGCAACATCGCCGCCGTCGACGCTCCCGACGCAAACCATTCGCTCTTTGCTACTCGCAACACCAAAGCATTCACCCCACAAATCGTCCAGGGAACTTACGACGGTTCTGTAGGGGAATACAAAGTCTCTGCATTTCAAGGATTCATGCAACACCTAAATGATTCGGCCATCAATAGCAGAGGCTGGGTCTTTCAAGAACGAACCCTGTCTCCTCGCGTGCTATACTTTGGGGAGTGGCAGATTGCATGGGAGTGCTGCAGCAGACAAACCACAGAGGGGTTTGAGAGTTTCGACAATCACGAAGCCTATAGCAATGTCGTTACTTTCCATCTAATGGAGCCTGATACAGCCGGGTACCGCTTGAGCTGGTGGAATTTTGTCGACAAGTACTCAACGTGCGCCCTGACATTCCCCCAAGACAGGCTCCTGGCCATGTCTGCCATTGCGAAAAGAATCAGGGCATTCACTGGCGACGAGTATGTTGCCGGTCTGTGGCGGAGCACCCTGGAGCAAGACTTGATGTGGAGAACAGTGAGAGAGAGAGAGGCGCCAGAGACGTTCACATCGTCCGCGAAGAGGGAAGAAGACGCTGCTCGTTCTAGCTACATAGCGCCTTCGTGGTCTTGGGCAGGTCCCAAAAAAGGTACTTCGCGTGTCGTTCGTCATCGGTACATAGACTTGGATTCGACGGACGCATTATGCAATGTGCATGACGTCCACCTCGAATACGTCACGGGCGACACAACAGGCCTGCTCAAGAGCGGCTATTTGCGACTTTGGGGGCAGCTCAGACGAGTTGAATTGCTGCGGACGGGGCCCTTTTCTGAGGACAAATGGATGAAGGTATACAAGTGGAAGATATATATCGGCGGCGAACTCGTCGAAACCATGTCCCCGATCGAGGTTTATCTGGACTCACCCACGACAACCGCATTCGACAGCCAAGACACTGCTACGACACGATATTATCTTCCTACGTTCAAGAGTACCTCACCTTGGACGCTTTGGATGCTACTCTTAGAGGTGCATAATTCCCAAAAAGGGATCTATCGTCGCATTGGCACCATGAAAGTGTCGAAGTACTCATGGAAAGACGTCAACGAGATGGATCCTCGATTTCTTGCGGCCCAGGAGGACGAGGACTTGCTTGCTTGTGAAGAGTACCGTGACGGCAAGCATTTGATACGCATAATATAAAAGCAGCTGTCTTCAAATACAGAGACCGTATGAGTGAGGTTGTAACGAGTGACGCATGCAGATGTCTAATATGGGAAGAAGCGTGGCTGCGGACACCTGGCGGCAGGTGTGTGGCCAGCAAATAATTGCGGGCTACGCTTTGTGTCCGAGCTTCCCAAGACCCCCTCACCGAAGCTTCACCTGATAGCATCAGGTCAAGACCAAGGTGAGTCCCGGTGAGGTCATCCCACTCCAACGACCCACTTTCTCAGCTCGGAATGCAACGCCACGACGGACGACATCCTTCTTTCCACCGAAATGCGGGTGCCCCTCCCTCTTCAGATCTCCATCAATTCGATGACATTCTAAGCAAAGACTTGTCCGCGCAAGATGACCAAGAACGATCCCGTGAACTTGCTCTCTGAGCAGTTCTCACACCTCAAAGCCGACGACCAGGCTTCCGAAATCTTGTACCGCCGCGCCAACCTCGAGCACCTCGTCGACAACTTATCGCCATGGGAGCTCGTCGCTCTCAGGACCATGGTCAACGCAAGAACACCTCAAATGAGCTCCATGTCTGATCTTCCCAGCGAGCTCGTCTCCATGGTTGCTGAGTATCTCACCACGAAGGATGCCCTGGCCTGCGCCGCCGTCTCCAAGGGATGGCGCACCGTCTGGACTGAGCCCTCTGTTGCCAAGCACCTGGTGACTACTCACTTCCCGGAACTGTCCGCGCTGCTTTCTCTGCCGTCGTCGCACCCGCACGCCAGCGATTCACCGTGGGAGACCTTCGTCACCGCCGCAGGCAAGACAATACCCCGCATCGATGGAAAGTTCATCTCCACGGTTGCCGTGAGCGAGATGCTCTACGACATTCTGCAGACCAAAACATTCGAGATGGACGAAAAGACCGTCGCGTACGTTGAGGGTGCAATTGAAAGAGGCTCTCGTCCATCGGAGCACACTGAAAGGCACTTCGCGTACTCCAGTGGCCGCCTGGCCTGGCATGTTGACCCCTATGCCATATTCATCGACGATCTACGCAATACAACCAGATCCCTCGTCACGCTACCGGATCTGGTGGAAAAGGGCGAGAGAGATTTTGTAATCTGGACCATGACTGAGAATATCATCATCTTCGTAGACCGCGCCACCGACCGCACCATGTAAGTTGCGGCATCCACCCTCCGTGACCTATTCGGAAGCTAATCGGGAAAAAAGGATCGTCTACCACATGGATAAAAAGGAGTTCCGACGCGTCACCCTCCCAAATCGCGTCAAGAGAATCACTGCCCATGCAGAAGCTGCAGTGCTTGAGTTCTCCATCATCAACCCAATCTACGCCGTTCCGCACGTGTTCCGCTGGGGCACCGGGCTCGCGAAGCTGCAACTCCCTCCTTTTACGAGAGATGCTGAGGATTATGAAGACTTGGACCTTGACCGCCCAGAAGGTTTCGTTTTTCACCCGACCGAAAGCAATGTGATCTACTACTTTGCACATGGAGAGGAAGATCGTAAGTTCCACTCCCGACCGTCTTGCTGCGCTCTTCTTGGCGTATCCTGCCGACCCAATCTCGCTGCTAACGATCGATGGCACGATAGCGTTTCTAGAAGGTTTCGTGGACAGCGAGCTTGAACTCGCCATTACCGTCTATAAGTTTGTGGATTTGAAGTACACCAAGTCGTTCCGGCATTCGTTCCATCTACCAGTATGCGTGTCAAGCCCCGATTCTGCCTTTGTATACGTTCGGTACGGCGAGCCAATCACCTCACATGGGCTCTACGGCCTAGTCCAGGCTATCCTCAATGAAATGGCCACTCCCGACCTTCCTGTCTTCCGGTACAACTTCGACACGCTCACGGAGACATTTTCGGAAACCGTCGAGGAGTACGAGCTCGGCATGCGACGGCCCGTGTGGGGCAGTCCCGATGGCAGCCCGGAGACGAGCGGCGGCCGCAGGTGGAACGGGCAGACATATTACCTGCAGAAATGGCGGCCGCATGAGGACGGACCCAGGATCTACCAGTTCACCGAATGGGCCGGGAAGGTCTGGGGCTACAGCGCGGTATGTGTGGCCGACGAGTCTTCGACATTGGTCCTGGGCCCGCTGCACGAGAAGGTATTCTATGACGGTCTGGGGATCGAAGAAATCGCCGTCGACGACGAATTTGTAGTCGGGATGAGTCCCATGGGCTACATGGTCTGGAACTTTGGGGTCCGGGGCGCAGACCGCGAGCCGTGGCAGCTCAACGACGACTCGTCCCCCATGCTGACGCGCTACACTGACGCCGACCGCCAGTGCCCTATCAAAGGCTGCAAAGGCCCAGGGTCCGCCAAGGCGTGCTACATCTGCGGGATTCTGGCTCGCGAGATGGATCAAATCTCGGGTGTATATGCTGCCATGCAATCTGCATTCCATACGGCTTGGCCTCCGGCAGGTGGCAATTCCGATTACGACGATGAAGATGATGAAGATGACGATGACGACTTCGACGACGACCTCATGTACGGTGATGATTTTGATTGAGTGTTGACTCTTGTAGAAAAACTAGTTTCCGGCCGTTAACATTAAATAAAATGACCATTCAAACCTTTGGCCAGCGTAAACCTTCCTTTCTCTTGGACCCAGGCGTTTCCAACATGTAGTTCGAATATATCAGTTGCCACCGCCTGAGTTGTAACAAGTTATGCTCTTTTGTGACTTAAGCGAGGTCCTAGGCATCCATGGATGGCAGATCGATGCCGGCTGTCCGGCTAATATGCTCGTTTGCGCAGACTCCCTACCGTGCCGCATTCACTTCCGCCAAAGGCGAGCAGCCTCATGCATGCCAAGTCAGGCGTAGCATATTAGCACTTTCCTTTCGCTGGGATGTTATCCGTTGGACCATGTCCACGCCATGTCAACTTCCAACAACATGCCAGTGGTTGACGTTCCTTTACCCCTTTTCAAGCTTTTGCCAAGTACCAGTTATCAACAAGTGCTTGCGAGAAGCAACAACCCAACTTCACACGTCAAGTCTGAACTCCGACTGCTTCACGACCACTTTTCAGTTGACAGCATCTCTTGACGCTTGCGGACGCCATCAACATCTGTCTCTTTAGCATCCCAGTCGACTCTGCTCCCTGAAAAGGGATACACCGACTACAACCGCGACACGTCTTCTCTCCACAACCCCCTTCGTGGTCCCGCCCCAATGCCAAACGCGTCGCCAATGGACCAGATTCCATGCCGATGGAGATACTGATGGAGGCGACGTCGAGGCAATCTATCTAGACTACACCCAAGCATCGTACAGCTCATGCAGTCCTTCGAACCGTGTTTGGAGGCCTGTCGTGTGCCCAGAAGGATGGCACGCCCACGGAATGACCGCCTTCTCGAGCTTCACGAAAGCCTACTGTTGCGCACCGTAAGGCCCCCTCAACCGTTCTTCGCGGTTCCTTCATCACCTAACATGACCCCTCCAGCGGCGAAGACGTCTGGCCAGACGGCAGCCGCCCCAACTCCATCAACCATCCCATCTGCATCGGCACGCTCCACTCCCAAGACCAGGACAGGCTTCTAGTTGCCGCCGGGTGGAACACATATCACGGAGAGGAAAGGGGGAAATTTACTGAAAACGTTGTCTGTATTGCATGATGTAACGTGGTTTGAGTTCATATGGATGTCCTTTGTCTTAACCCATCCATAGGCTACACCTAGTCCACTGCAAGACTTTGAATTAATAGAGGATACTGATTATATTTAAACTCATCTAATAATGAAGCTTGCTACTCAAGTTGGGTTTTTTAAATGGTTAGAGGAATACGCAGATAGCGTATAACTATTTCATTGTCATACTAAATGATGGAGTGCCTAAAAGCTTTTTAATGGAATTTGACTTTATCCAAGACGGGGGAAATAAGAACCCCCCGATGATATGAAGTTCTGTAGTTCCCTAGCAGTCGATAGAACAGCTCAGCTTAGTAGCGTCCATCAAACGCCTCTGGAACGACGACCCCTTCCTCCTGGCCATACGTCGTATCGCTCGTATATGTATACACACTAACTGACGCCAGCCCTAGCCCCCCAAGCATCAAACCCGCGTACACGATGGCTTGATGGAGAAACGAGACATATCTTGAATCGATCCCAAAAGCCGTGGCCGTGCCGAACGCTTGAACACCCTTAAAGTACCCGCTGTACCGGCCGAGCGTCCGCGGCTCGTTTGAGAAGGTGCTGTACACCCAGATCAAGAAGTTTTGGAAGATCGGGTATGAAGCGCCGAGAAAAATGTAAAGTACAAAGGGGCCAGCGAAACGTCGGCCATCGGTCCAGTCGATGCCGATGACCGGACCGGCACGGTCAAAGTCGTTGGAGGCAAGAAAGGCCAGAAGAGCGATCCAGGTGCCGCCCATGATGACAGCAACGAAGGCGGCGGAGATGAAGGCGCGACGCCGACGGCGGCCAAAGATGTTTCCGTCGCATGTCCATGCGATGGCGGCTGAGCCGACCACCTGGATAGTCCAATAGCAAAACTGTTTTCACTTGTCAGCGTTTTCTCTTGCGGCAGGCGTGAGTGAGTGCATGATCTCACGTTTGCCAATGATCTTGTTCTCGAATTAAAGTAGAAGGAGTTGAACGACCCCGATAGCGACAGGTACATCTCGCAGCTGTAGATTGCTAACGTGATGAGGGTCATCCTCGGTTCTTTCAAGGTTAGAAACAAGCTCTTCAGTTCCCGGGACCAGGATTCTGCATCAAAAGAGGCTATTGGTCGCCCGTCGTTGCGTCTGATCTTGCTTGGATCTATCAGAAGAGCTGCCACGAATATCCCAGCGCACTCGAGACAGATGAAGGTGAGATATACCGCTGGCGGTACCCCCGATGAGGAGGTGTTGCTGATGTTGATTCCAAGGACAACGGCTATAACAACCCATTAGCGTGCGCCATAACAGAGAAGAGAATCTTCTACCTGATCCAACGACAGAACCCAGAGCATTCAAAATCCACGTCGTCGCGATGTAGAAGCCCTTTTCAGACTCAATCGGGTAGCACGTGCAGATGTACCCTGATTGAGGTCAGCCATGCGTACCGATGTGACATCGTGCCCCTGAGGTGAATGCATTTCATGTCCTAGCACACCTCAGATTGAACGAGCCCAGAGCAGTCGGCTTATTACCTTGAACGGCCCATAAAATACCAGCCGAAAGGCCTAACCAAGCACCACCGAATAACACGAACCATTCCCCTTCGCCTTTGTCTATCCACCTGGCCACATATCAGTCGGAATTGCAAATGGATTCAAAATATGTCACACAAACCAGAGAGAGCCGCAGTACACTGGATAGCCAGTAACCCCCAGCATCAGGGAATATCGAGGCCCGATCTTGTTGATCACGCCGCCACCAACAACTGCAGATGCACCAAAAAGGGTATAAAGAACGACATTAGCATCGTTGACAATCCCAATCAGCTCGGGCTGTTTTCCGCCGGCGCCGAGCCCTGTGATAGCGAGATAGGTTCCGGGATTGAGGAAAAGAACGATTCCAACCAGGGCGGTCTGGAAAATTGGCCTGCCGTTGATCCTGGTCAGCTTTGGCACGAAGTTTCTGAGCATGCTGCATGGACTCACGAGCTGACGCGCCACTTAGACAGGTGCTGATGTTGTTCCTGCACAACAACCTCGCCGCTATTCTTGTTGCTGGACATTGTGGTCGCCGTCGACTTGAGGTCCGGGTCCAAAAGAACAGTCAGGCAGAATTGTCGTCGACGATATTTACTAGTAACCTGGGAAACTGCGGGCGAGGTAGTTTATCTTGCAGCGCCCACAGGGAGCCTGGCAATATGGAATGTCTAACAATCAATGGTTCTAAAGCGTCGCCGAGCGTTCAACAGTTCCAAAACTGAGTCAAGGTCTATCATGACATGTCTGTAGAGAACGTGGTGCAACGTTCGGTCATCTCCCGAATAAGGCAAATGAAGTACCAGGTAGGCCGTGTCCCCCATATCATGAGACAAGAACCCTCGCACCCTGCACTTCACCAGTATTCGGTCGGAAATAGGGTCTTACCAGCGATGAAATAACTTCATCACCACCATTGCCACCACCTGTGAATATTGATGTCCAGTTACGGCTCAACGTCTTTAACTCGTGTTATTGGCAGCCGGTGCCAGCTGTCGCAACAGACTGGATCTTTATGGCAACAACAACGTGGATCAGCGGGGGCTGACATGTGTGACTAAAGTCTTCCACGCCGCTCGAGACAGTGTTGCAAATCATTGGCCAATCGAAGCCAAGGTACGAAGACGGCGTTCTGTATCTGTCGACCGCACTTGTTTCCCGAGGTCTCCACGCCATGCGCCTCATCAACGTAGATACCCTCGCGCTGGAAGAATTCTTCGGCGACGATGTACCCCGCTACGCGATCCTCTCCCATACGTGGGGCTCAGACGAGGTCTCCTTCCAAGACTGGAAGACCATGGCCGTCGCCCGCGAGAGGACAGGGTTCCAAAAGATTGAGCTCGCCCGGAGACATGCAATCAGCCAAGACATAGGGTACCTCTGGATCGACACCAACTGCATCAACAAAGATAGCTCGGCTGAGCTAGCTGAGGCCATCAACTCCATGTTCGCGTGGTACAGGGACGCCGAGATTTGCTACGCCTACCTCTCTGACGTCTCCGAGGCCGAAGACTACAATGAGGCCGCTTCCAAGGAGGCCCTTCTGTCTAGAGTATCCCAGAGTCAGTGGTTTACGCGCGGCTGGACGCTGCAGGAGCTTCTAGCCCCCCGCCAAGTCTTTTTCTTCTCCCGAGAGTGGAGACAAGTCGGCACGCGGAAGTCGTTAGTGGAAACCATCTCCAAAGTCACCGGTATCAGCACTGCATACTTGGTTTACAAGCGGAAGCGGATAGCGCCGATCTCCGGCGCCAGCGTCGCGGAGAGGATGTCTTGGCTATCATGTCGCCAGACTTCCCGCGTGGAAGATATGGCGTACTGCATGCTCGGAATCTTCGACATCAACATGCCGCTGCTGTACGGCGAGGGCTCGAGGGCCTTCACACGGCTGCAGGAAGAGATACTCAGAATCTCCACGGATGAGTCGCTCTTCTGCTGGTCTTGGAACGAGGATGATCCACCGTCATGGACGAGCGTGCTGGCGCCGTCGCCACGTAACTTTAGGAACACGCGGGAGTACCATCCTGCAAGGGACGAATCCAGTCGGCCGGTGCCGTACTCGATGACCAACTTTGGCCTCTCCATCCAGCTTCCAATCATCCGACTTGCTGAGCTGCCCCGCTCGGACATTTGGCTTCGCCCATTTGAGCACATCGCCGTGCTCTCGGCAGGTACAACGGATGGGCATCTCGTCGGGATTCCTTTGGAAAAGACACAGACGTTGGACACTTACAAGGTTGTGCGAGACTGCCCGCGGCCTATTGCGCTGTGCTGGAAGAACCGTTTGTCGCTTAAGACAGATGGTGTAAAAGCGACTCATCTCGACATCTTTGTCCCTTCGAGGGGATTCGACAGCAGTGAGCAAGAATCTCGTCTTGCGTATCCTGACACAAAAAATAGTCTTGGCGAGTATGCGATCCTTCTTCTCATTCCAGTTTTCCCAGACTCAAGCCCTTCATCTGAGGGTTTCTCAGTTGAGAGTATTGATGCTATTCCGAGACATAGGAGGTCAAGAGCCGGATTTATTAGGATGAGGAAGTTTAAGATTGCGGGACCTCCATTTGAAGCCTCTCGGTCGTCCTCAGAAAGCTCCAACGCTACCGAAGCTCATGGAGCTCTGGTCCGAATTTCTTTCAAATATAATGCTCATGCAATAAGCACGACGACGCTTTTGTTTGGGGTGTTAGTCAGTGAAGCCGGCGATAGAAGATGGTTTCATCGGGTGCTGAAAAACAATCGCCCGGGTAATGTTGAGTCAGACTTTTATTTCACGTTCCGGTCTCTGGAAAACCTTTTGGCGGAAGCAGCCGCTGGCTGGCAAGATCCGTCCAGGCCGCCTAGCGAGAAGTGTCTTGCGGTGGCTGAGACGATGTTAGATCAATGGCTGGAGGGATTAATTGTGAGGCTGGGCCCAGAGTTCCTTGTAGAAGCAAATCATTTGGAGACAAGTACGGCAGCTGCCCATTTTATATTACACACCCAGAGCTGATCTTAGCATACGGGCACTTAACTCTTTCCAGCAGGTGATGTGTTTCTGCTTCCAAACAAACTGAACTCAAGTATATGTGTGTAGAACTACTTTACGTGGTCGTAGATGATAAACAAAGTAATTACAAGAAGATAGTGATATGTATTGATGTCATGATTGGGTAAGAGACAAGACGACAACTCATCAGCCCCAAGGATTCCTCATCTGCCCCTGCAATGGTGGTCAGCGACGTGGACAGGGATCTCAGATCGCTTTTAGACTGACCTTGCCCATGCAAGTGAAGTAGGTTGTTGGTGGGGCTCACCGGGGCCTAATTCTGAGCTTATCTCATTGTGAGATGTCTTACAGGTTCATGCCAAGGTCTACTAAGGTCTTATGGAAAGCTTGAATTATCAACCTCCAATGTTCAGGGAACAGGCGACATGGAAAAATTACACCAGGCATCCGGAAATCTCTTCTTTACCAGATTTTGAGTACCATAATTAACGATCTAGTTCAGGATAAACCCTGCCACTATTGCCGGCTTCTCGTTGGTATGGTATAAGCTGTCCTCAGTCATGGTTTTCGATCACCTATGTTGTGCTTTGGGAAGCCACATTACGCAGGCTCACTTAGACCATTTATCATCGACACACACACACACACACACACACACACACACACATATATATATATATGGATTTGATACTCTGACAATATATACTCTCTGCCAAAGCTTTGTAGACCCTCTAACTGACAAATTCGAAAGCATAAGCGGTGTACTGATTGTCCGGATCGACAAAGAAGGTAACTTCATTGTTTGTGACGGTGTGCGTAACAGTACCAAGATCAGTAGGCGCGGGTCCTTCGAGCCACCAGTCGACGTGGTTAAAACGGAGTGTCCGGATCTTCACGGTCCCAGAAATGCCCACGGTGCTGAGACCAGTGACACGCACATCATAGACCCGGTCTCCAGCGGATGACTTGAGGCCGGTCAGGATCTTGACCGAATTGGCACTGCTGCCGCGCGTGGCGTAGACCTCGAAGAGGCGGTCTCCCGAAGACGTAGTCGCAACACGGTTGCCCGTCATGGAATGGGTGTAGTAGTTATACACCCACCACTGGCCGAATTGGTCTGGTCGCCGCCGTCGATGGCACCATACTCATTGACACTGACAGGCTTCATGGCCATGCCGCGCGCTGAGGTCATGCTCTTCAGGGCGTCCTGTGCATTGCGGGGAATGTAGGCGGAGCCGGTAGCGGTGAGGATGTGATAGGTGTACTTGTCTGGCACGGTGTTGGTCGATTTGACATGGTCAAGCCAAGCAGTCCATCGGGTGTTGCCTGTGGTTGGTGGTTGTGAGATGGATGGACCTAAGATAGGGACGTTGGGAAGTTCAGACCTAATCTTGGTTAGTGACTGTAGCTTGCTTTCACTATGTGGGCCCGAGTTAGATGGCTTTGGTGTCTTGGAACTCACTTGAAGCGCTGATACATGCGTGTCCACGTCTGCAGATACTGGTCGTACGAAGCACCCCAGAATTGAGGGGCATCGGGCTCGTTCCACAGATCAAGCTCAAGACCACTTTGAAGATTGTTGTTCTTGATGTAAGCAATCACCTGGGTCAGGAACGTGTCGAAAAACGCCCAATTGCCATTGTCGCCAGGCCAAGGAATGGTGCCCTGGACGCTGTCGGCACCCCAGAGGTCGTGGACGAGCAGCTGAAAGCCGGCACCGTGACTCCTTGCAGTCTTGTAATTCGAAGAGAAAGATTGCAGGCGGCCCTAGAGAAGCTTGTCAGATGATGGATCCGGCGTCAGGGGTTGACATCAAACATACCGTGAGCTGGCCAGAAGCGTAGCCTAGACTGGGAGAAGGAAGTTGAGCTCCGCCGGCACGGTTATAGATATATCCAGTGCCCACGGCGAGCTCCTGCGGGATAGCAGTGCTGGCAGAGCCATCTGCGTTGTCGGGAAGACCGTAGATGAAGCCTGAAGCTAGGTGCTGAGGAGTACCCGAGGTCTGGGCAAGGTTGACGACAGCGGTACCCTCGGCGCGTCTCTCCAGGCGTGTACCGTCGTGGGAACCCACGGCAGCACCAACGACAAAATGAACCAATGCCAGAAGGCTGAAAAAGGTGGACTTGCCCTTCATGTCGTGTCTGATATAGGGGAATCTTCAAGAGTTGTCTTCACTATGAGGAGCTGGTCAAGGTGGCAAATACTAGCGACATTCTACGTGACTTTATAATAATTACTTCCAAAGGATCAAACCGCTGAGGCTTGACATTGCTAAGATAATATTAGATCTGTATCAATCGTCTATGATGTGAACGCACACTTGCATTGGCTCTCTTGTCATGCGACTTTTCCATTGGCGGAATCCCGCTTCAGTATGTACCTTCAGCTTCTTTGAACTGGTATGTGCCGGCTGACCCCGTGGGGTTGACTTCTGCAACAAGGGAAAATATATATGCCGTTCGATACACTTCAACTTCCGAGGGTGCAGTCTAATTGGAGCGGCTGCAGGTGTCAAGCTCGGGATCGCCGTCTCCCTGAGCAGTTCCCCGCATGATTGAGATAAGCTTATTGCTCCAGTTACTTGAGAACATTCGAGTGCCTCCAATATTGATTGCCCTAGGCCGGAAACATTGATCGGAGGTACACTTCCATTCAACTCTTGTCCTTACCTGTATCATTGAATCCCGCGCAATCGAAAGGTTGAGGGGGAAAGGACCGTGTTTTTACCTTCAGTCTGTATGGAGCGCTTAGACACATCGGCAAACGCCATTGCGACGATGTCGAAAATGCGACCATCCATTTCCGATGCGGATTACTCTTCCGTACCTCTTGAGTCTGATCTCTTCAACCATTGTGGCTCGAGATGCGGTCGCTGCAAGAAACATCAACGCTCTAAGGCCGCCAAAAGCTCAGGCGACCGTCCCCTTCTGCCTTTATCGAACGCCTACAATGAGCGACGCCTCAGAGAAGGTGCCCTAGAGCGGATAGTAGAGTCACACCCTCTTATACAATTATGGGATTTGGGTTGTTGTTGTGTTTCTTTGGCAGTGAAAATTCGTTTCTAGTTTGATCATGAACGAGGAGCGGCGTTGAAAGTCCGATGGATCTGGGTCGTTCACCTCAGCTTTAACATGAGGTATCGGTGTTAGGCCGGTGTCACGTCAGCCGGAAGTTGCGAGAGAAAGCTTTAGTGATGACGTGTCAATTCAAGGTGCAACCTCAACCTGTGTTATGTATGCTAATGATTTCAAAGCTACCGGTGCTTAGACATATCACGCTTGTCCTTTTTGTTGCTAACGGCGTCTGGGGCTTCCAGAGCTTCGGTTATAGCTGGATCCTGGTAATAACGCACAACTGAACAGGAACTTACAACTAACTATCGTGCACCCTTGGGTTCCACGAACGAGTCGAGAAGCTCCTCCTAGTTGGCGACAGACACAATTTTAGCCGTTTCCATCTCTCCAGAACGTCAGTGAAATTGGCTTAAGTTGCTTATGCAGGCAGCCTGATAAGTGCGGAACTTCCGGAGTCTGCAGCTTGACACGGCTGCAGGAATATCTGAGTCTGCCACCCATTTCCCCAGGATCGTAGAGGGCCACAGGGGCTTCTAGAAAGTAGATTTCGGCATCCCTGAGCCCGCGATTCCCGACATCGATCCGCATCTTCCATTCGTAAGCCTGAGATGCAGTGTTGTCTACCGGAAAGCGTCCTCCGGCTCGCAATCAAAGCAATTGTGGCTGATAAGCTGCCAGGAGTCCTCAGCGAGTGACTTAACCTTTGGCTGATGAGGCGAGACAAGGAGTTTAATCTCTAGCCTGCCGAGATTTCCGGTCACGCGTGTTATTTTCGCGTCTGAATCGTCATATAGCAGGTCCTGGAGGAGCCGGCTAGCAATGTATAGAGAATTACCGGATGCTTTGGCCATCATATACATCAGCGTTGAAATATCGAGGACGAAAGTGCCGGATTCCGACATTGCCATGCACGCGAAAGCCTCGGCTCGGAGCGATGAACCATGTATTGTTTCTTCACGGATATGACCTATTCGGAGCCTCTGATGTTCTTTGATATAAACTTACGTGAATCTGTTAGCTTATAGGCCTGTTTAGCCCCTTCACCAGCACTGGCACAGTTTCAATTCGAATTCAGAGGGGAGGGGTGACCTTGACCAGATCGATGGCTCTTCAATCCACAACAACTGCGAGGGCGGCCTCACAAACTGGAATTCCTGGGTCGGCAGCGCTTCCTTGAGCTCTTCGGTCTCGACCACCCCAACTCTTCCAGAAGTTTACTGAGGCAACCGGCGCTAAGGGGTTCAAAGAGCTTTGCGAGTTCAATTGCAAATGCGTCTATTGCCCAGTGTCATCCTGCCTATGCCAGGCAGTCAGCAAGCCCAAGGCATTAGAGGCGGGCGAATTTCTTGCCGAGGGAAGGAGCGAGAACTACTTTGGCTTGTGCTCTTGGGCTTGTAACCACGGCTACTGCCAATCAGAGTACTGCTCTCCAACCCAGCACCCGACGATTGTACCAAAGGTCTCCGACTTACTTCCCCCAGCGTGCACAGCCGGAAAAGGTGATGGGGCCTTGGGTGGGCTTTGCTCATACGCCTGCGACTATGGCTTCTGCCCTTGTCTTACGTGCACATGCAACGATAAATGGGGACTCCATCAGCCGACTACAGCAGGGAACCCATCAGTCTCTGCGCTCAGCGTGGCCAAGGACCACGGCCTATGTGACTTTGCGTGCTCTCGGGGCTAGAGCCCAGACGCAGCTTGTACGCTTGGGTACGCGGTGACCCGGATGGCAAGTGTCAATCGAGCGATGTCACATTTTCCCGCGAAACAATGAGAGCGGTATGAACCTTATCGTAACCCCGTTTTGAGAGCAGGCACGATATTTGGCAACGGAACGGTGCAATTGCATTCCGCTACACGATGGCCCAAATTGATGCAGCTTAAAATTGCTTTTCCTGTATCACGGCACAGTCCAATGAACGCCAGTTTTTCCCGCTTTATCTTTCTAATGATCAGCATGTTTTCCCAACCACCGCCTGTGTCCAGATCGATTGGATGATCAACGAGGCGTTGGTGCTTCGTTTGGTTTTGGTCATTTCGGGAAGGCGGTTAACCAAACGGTGATAGGTGGGAGAATGAGTCGAATACTTGTGTGAAGATTGTCCGCGTGATGTGGGAATCCACTGGCTTTGTGGACGAAAGGTGATGATTTACAAAACATTGCAGACACACCATGAGACTTGATAGAGATTTTAAATCAAACAGCTCTGGTCCGACTGCTATTTGAAATGGGCAGCCACATGACTTTTAGGCCGCATCAATCTATTGATTTACTTTCTTTTTCTTCGCTTGGACTAACAAGCGTCGCGACCCTGCTAATGCACGTTATCCGCAAATAGATCACATTTTCCTCCACTTCACTGCATTTACGAAGCCGCCATAAAATCACATTGATATGAGGACCAAGGATGTTAAAAAGAGCCTAGAGCCATCATAAAACAACATTTAATTCCCAGAACGGTCTCCTAAGTTGACCACTGTGAAATTCCTAGCCCTCGTCTTCGCACCCTTTCTCATGTCTTCAGATAACGACGTTGAGAAAGACGGCTCTTCAGCCGTCATAAATAAGACTGGTAAGCAAGTCATCTATGTTGAATAGAATTATCATCGCTGATATGCCACCTTGTAGATGATGGTGACAGGGCCGCCAGTTTCTCTTCCCGTGCACGCAGTTACTCCAGCGACACCTGGCGCGGCCCCTTTCGCCAGGCAGGCAACTCTGGAATTCGCCAGGATGGTCATTCCAATGGCGCTGGTGGAGAACATGCTGCTTGTAGGTCTCCCCGGCAATTGCGGCTCTCGATCGATAGCCGAGAACGAGGTCGCGACAGTCTTCAACATCCACACCACGTCTCGATGTCGGAGTCAAGAGACAGTATTCATAGTGAACCTGCTAGAATAACCGAGAACGACCAAACGCCACTTCCCAGACAAATTCAACGCTTGTTGCATCTCGATCGCGATAATCCTGGCGATTGGGCCGTAAATCACCACCTCCCAAATCTTATCACAAGGTTGGACCAGCCGGAGGCGAATGTCATTGGCTCGGCGCTCAATGAAATGAGCACGAAAATTCGGGAGATACGGTGCGGCAAGAAAGCGGAACCGACGCCCTAGTTATCCGCATATTCGTTCTCTGAGGACGGAATGCGGTTTCGTATCAGCAATGTCAGCTGGTAAGACATGTTGTCAAAATGCGCCTTGAAGGTCACGAGTCACCGGGCTGGGAGCAGACGATCAAGGAGTACAGTATGAACATCTTCTCTTTTGGTTTACTTATACATTTATTCCACAATACACGCCTTTTATTTCTTACTTTCTAGGGCATACTGACTTATTTCGTTCATCACAGTCAAAGCTCTCAAGGACTATGACTACGTGGAAAACCGCCCAAAGTCCAGCCGAGATCCGTTTCTTGCCACAGGAGAATATGGCGTGGACAACTACGTTCTCAACTGCAACATCGATAGTGTCCTCGCCAACGATATTAACGACTATGTTGACTCACTTAAAACTTGGGACGTCAGCTCTGATCAATCCAACGAGCCGATTACTGGCACACGTGGGAGCAATGTCGCAAAGACATGGTACCGCGGGTTCAAAGAGCGCATCGTGATTGCAGCTACCGGAGGCGCCTTCCTCGTTGGCCCAATGTGGATCATGGTGCTGAATGGCGGGCTCTACACCTCACTTATCTCGACAACGGCTTTTGTTACAGGGTTTGGAATACTGATGGCTTACTTTCTCAATGAGTCTAAAGACGTTCTTGCCAGCACAGTAGCTTATGCAGCTGTGTTAGTTGTATTTGTAGGAACAAGCAATTCGTAGATAAGGTAGTTATTGTGGAACTGAACGATTAGTTGGGATATACTTGAGAATGTCAAGAAACGCTGCTTTTCACTTCGACGCTAATGAATTCAAAGACGAATGGGGTACAAGCTGTCTGCGGCTACTCGCGCCCTATGGATGGCACTCTCCCCTTGGCGCGGCAGACCAATGAGTCACGTCTCAACACCATGACTAACCATCACCAAACCTCAACTACTTCAAGTCAACTTCTTCAAACCAACTCCTTAACACATCAGCTTCTACAGCCAGTCATCAAATCACCACGATGTCTTCTCCAGAGTACGACATCCTCGTGACCGGCTCCTCAGGCCACCTCGGCGCGGCCCTCATGCTCTCCCTCCCCTCCCACGGCCACACCCCCCTCGGCATCGACATCCTCCCCTCCTCAACCACAACCCACACCCTCTCAATCACAGACCGCGCCGCCCTCACCGCCCTCTTCACCTCCCACTCCTCCATCAAACACATCATCCACGCCGCAACCCTGCACAAACCCCACGTCGCCTCGCACCCAAAACAAGCCTTCATCGACACAAACATCACCGGCACCCTCGCCCTCCTCGAAACCTCCTCCGCCGCCCTCCCGTCCCTCGAATCCTTCATCTTCATCTCCACAACCTCAACCTACGGCTCCGCCCTCGCCCCGGCCCCCGGCTCCCCCGCCGCCTGGATCACCGAACCCACCCCGCCCGTCCCCAAAAACATCTACGGCGCCACCAAGACCGCCGCCGAGGACCTCGTCCGCCTGCACCACCTGCACACATCCCTGCCCTGCCTCGTCCTGCGCACGTCGCGCTTCTTCCCCGAGCAGGACGACGACCCCGCCCGCCGCGCCGAGTTCCCCGCCGACGCGAACCTCAAGGTCTGCGAGCTCGCACACCGCCGCCTAGACATCGCCGATACTGTGTCTGCCGTCGTCTGCGCCGTGCGCCGCGCCGCGCAGATCGGGTTCGCGAAGTACATCGTCTCGGCGCCGCCGCCGTTCGCCAACGATGCAGACACCCTCGCGCGGCTGAATGCCGGTGGTGGTGGGGACGCGGAGAGCGTGTATAGAGAGTGCGTCCCCGCGGCGGGCGCCGTGTTTGAGAAGCTCGGATGGAGGTTCCCGGACCGCGTCGACCGCGTGTACGACTCGGCCAGGGCGGTGCGCGAGCTCGGGTGGAGGCCCGAGTGGACGTTTGACAAGGTCGTCGAGAGGCTTGCGCGCGGCGATGACTGGAGGAGCGAGCTGACGCATGTGGTCGGCAAGAGAGGGTATCACGATGTCCCAACGGGAGTGTACACGACATGAAGAACAACAAAGCGAAGACGTGGTATTTCCGGTCTATGTATATCCATCAGACGCAACAAAGTAAATACAGCCCAAAAAAGCAATGAAAATGCCCAAAGAACCAAACGCTATGCAGTTACCAATCATGCCTCAATGTCCCTCACAAGCCCCAACTCCGCGCCCAGCTCGAGAACCTGCCTCGCCACCGCATCAACATCCACAGTCTTGATGACCACCCGGTGATTCCCCTCCCACTCCACCAGCCTCGTCGACCCGGGCTCGCAGTACTCCTTCAGCAGCCGCCTGTGCTGCTCCAGCCCAGGGTCCTTCAGCCCATGCACATGAATCGTCGGCAGCCTCAACACATGGTCCGTCCCGCTCCCGTTCGGCCAGTCGTCAAACACCACGCTCGCCTCCGCCGCGTCCCCCACGCCCTGCGGCGCGTCTATCCTGTCGTCCAGCACGATCAGCGGCGCGCGGCCCGCGAGCAGCACGCCAAACTTCCAGTCCGCGCTGCCGCCCGCGCTCGCGATGCGGCGGCCGTACTTCTGGCGCAGCATCTGCTGCGTGTACATCAGGCTCGCGCTGATCTTGGCGCCCTGCGAGAAGCCCAGCAGGCCGACCCACTCGCCGGTGGCGCCGAGCGCGTCGTCGTCGTCCATGGCCATGCGCAGCTGGAAGTGGATCTCGGCGGAGGCGGTCTCGGCGTCGACGACGGGCTGGTGCTCGGGCAGCCAGCGCAGCCAGCGGCGGAAGGGCCCGTAGTCGCCGTACACGGAGACGATGTCGTGGTGCGGGGCGCAGATGAAGGGGCCCTCGGCGAAGACGAGGCGGAAGTGCGGGCGCAGGCGGGCGATGAGGGCGCGGCACTGCACCTTGAAGACGGCGGCGTTGACGCCGCCGCCGTGGAGGCAGAGGATGCGCGGGAGGTGGAGGGTGGTGTCCGGGCCGGAGCCGGGCGGGGTCGTTGCGCTTGGCATTGTTGGGGAGCGCGAGACCGGGTTTGTTTGTGTGTGAGGTGTTTGTTGATGGGGTCCCCGGGGGGCAGAGAGGGGGAGGGGGGCGCGAGGAGAGTGGTTGGGGTGCGTCGGTGTAAGTTGTTGGTTCTGCTGGGGTTCGTGGGCAGAAGAAGCGCGGTTGTCAACTCGGGACCGAGAGGATGTTCTCGTTCGGGGTATCTTTTTGTCTCTGAGACTGAGTGAGGAAGAGAGGAAGAGAGGAAGAGAGGGAGGGAGAAGAGAGAAAAGAGTGAGCGAGGTTATGCACGAGGGTAATAGGTGTGTAGAAAAAGGGGGAAAGGAAGGGAAAGAAAGTGCCCGGCTCGGAAGCCGTCTGCGCTCGTTCAACGTCTGGGATAAGACGCAACACACGGAGGACGATAGTACGGATAAGCAGATCGACACTCTTCCTCAACAAGTGAGCAGCAGAAAAAAAAGCCAAAAGGCGTCTTTTTTTTTTTTTTTTTTTTGCGCAGGGACAGGCGCCCAGGTCGCTCTAAAATTGCGGGGCGATGGATTCAGGTCGCGTCAATGTCCGGTGCGTCGACGCTTCACCGGCCGGAGCTCCGAACGTTGGTGCCTCGTTGTGAGTGAGGTTCGTCCTGCTTTCGATCGCCGAAGAGGGCTGTCTGGCTGCCTGTCGTTCGGTGGTCTAGCTCCAATAGACGTGATTATCAACAGGCGTGGATCTCTCTCTCTCTCTTTCTACCCCCGAAGTGAGATTGACAACCAGGCTTGTCCTGTTGCAGCCTGGTCTGTTCGGCGTTGGGCTTGTCGCTCTCGAAAATCGTCTCGTCTTCTTTATTTATCTTTCTCTGGGCGGCGCAAATCAATCGCAAACCGCTTATGCTGTCAGACTTGGGGAAAGGCCGGGCGCGTGCACACTCGACAGAAAGCAGGCGGGTGTGCGGTCAGATTTAAAGATACGAGAAACGGCGAATGTGAGGACTCCGGAACCCGGATGCCGTTGCTGTTGAAATAGGAGAAACCAGATTTTGGGGGCCGACCGGATGAAAGGCGAGACACAATTGCTGTCATGATGACCAAGACCGCAAACCTTCAGATTTCTCCTGCTCCCTTCCCTCGGTTCGCAACCATCCCCCTCAAACTGGCAACTCTTCATCGAAAGCCGAGGCAAGTTCGTCCAGCCTGTGTCTCAAACGCAGCTTTGCAGCATCACAAAAGCTTGTCTGGACCCAGCGGGCTGGTCGCAGCGGACAGCGGCACCGAACATCAGACACTTGTCGTGGATCACATAGAAAGACAGGCGCCTTCTCGAACGCCCAAAGAGATTGAATACCGGTCGACATAAGACGAAAGTCAGATTCCCCGACCGGGAAAGCTTGTGGTTGGACGGGATTGGCCAGAAGCGGCAACTCAGGTTGCGCTCTCAACCGGGGAATGGCTGGCCGTTCGGAGGTTCGGCGCGAGGTAGCACCCTGCGAATGCCCGATTTTGAGTGCGCGTGCTGCGACGACGACGACTCGTCTTCCTGATTAGTCGCCGTTTCTTATCAGACTCGGGAAACAAGTCAAACACATGTATGAATTAATGCCAGACATGGACAAATGTCAGAACAGATAAATCAAAACAGAGGTCCGGTGGGCTTACCCGTCTGTCTACTCTGGGGATGCGCGCGTCCGGACGGGCGGACGGACCTGGGCTGGGAGAATGTCCGATGGAAGGGGTGAGCAAGCCAGCAGCAAGCACATGCAATGCACACCCGGGCCGCCCGCTGCGTAGAGAAAAAAGAAAGAAAACAAGTCCCCGAATTCTTTACATTAGCAGCGTCCGGTCCGAAACCGAAAGCTGATTTGTCCAATTGGCCGTGTTTACTGCTGCTGCGTCTCCAACTAGGCGTCATCCAGCATCTGCATTATGGAAACCTGATAAGAAAGAGACAGAACCGCTATGCAGGCAGAAAAACGCCCGCCATCTCATCTCATGCTGCAAGTGATGCATCGCGTGAGAAGCGAGACTGTGTCAACTGTATCAAAACAAACTCATCTGCCCACTTTCACACGTTCGGTTGGGTCAAGCGAGAAGCTTCAGAAGCTTCATAATGAACTCTGTTCCCTCCAGCGACGGAACTCAGTCTCGATGCAGCAATTGACTCGCGCACAACCTGGTGTCACCTCGGGAATGAAGCTTCCACAACCTTCGATAGTTCTTCCATCCGCATGGAACGATGCAGGCCAGAACTTTGAACACTTTCTCGTGAAGCAAAGCGTCCAAAACAGGCGGCGGGTGTAGCAATATGTATCCGCTCCCGCACCGCTCACCCCGAAGCAGCAGCATCACCATCAGCAGCAGCAGCGGCATTCATCGGCGGCCGCGGGGGGCCTAGGCGACAATCCCGAGGTCTAGAGATGCCCTCCAGCCAGAGCGGGAACTTGAGCGAGCAGGGATGAACACGTCGTACACCGTCAACACCCACTAATTCCCTTCGCGAGGCCACAGCAGACGAATCGCGTGCTCTCCAAGCCCGGCTCAGCCACACGCTACTGCCCCATGTGCCCCACTACTCCCCATCAGCCACACTATGACGTTTAATTGTGCCCCTCCACGCTTTCCCCTCTCTGTGCCACTCTCTGCCGCACTGGTGAGCTGTCACAGCAGCTCTTGGTGCCTACCACCAGCTAATACGTGGAAACTGACGCCTCTTCTCGCAAACAAGAGGCCTCTCTCTGACTCTCCGTCTCTCTCGCGTCCAAAAGAAGCTCCATCTAAGCCTCACAGGGCCGCGATATCCACGTTGACGACACTTCTGCGCCACACCAAAACCCTCAACAAGCTTCATTTCATCTGGCGACCCCGAAGATCCAGAAACAAAAAATAAAACAGGGTCCAGCTCGCCATCTCCCAAACATACAAAAACAGTTGCCATCACCTCCAGAACAGCTGCTGTCCCTTCTGCCATCACCAGCCTCATCCATCATCAGACGATACCCATCCATCCCCCCACCTCCATCCTCTCCTACATTTCCTCGCATCACCTTCTCGTTTGCTCTACCTCTTAGATACCTGATACCCAAAAAAGTCCACACACACACACGCACAACACCTCGCACGTCCTGAATCATGTCGTGGTCAGGCCCCTCCCACAACGAGAAGCCCCCCGTCCCCACGGGCGAGCACCAGCAACAGACCTTCCCTCCCCCTCCCACCGACCAAAAGACCGAGCTGCCCGCCGGCCAGCAGCCGTACTTCCCCCCGCCGCCTCCCGGCCCTCCCCCCGCGAACCAGCCGCAGTACACCCACGCTCCCCAAACCCAGCAGCAGCCGCAATACGGCGCCCCGCCCCAGCAGCAGCAGCAGCAGTACGCTCCTCCTCCGGCCCAGCATCAGGCCGACTACAACCCGGCCCAGTACGGCGGCGCCGGCCACCACTACACGGCCCCCGGCGCCGACCACACCGACCCCGCCGCCTCCCAGGCCGCCGCCGCCTTCGCCGCGACCGCCCCCGAGGCCATCAAGCCCCAGAAGCAGCACAAGGGATGGGGCGAGCGCCTGACCCAGATCGGCATGAAGGCCGCCGGGCCCATCAACGCCATGGCCAACAAGATGGGCTCCCAGAGCTTCCTGCCCACCACCATGGACAAGGAGTGCGAAAAGGCGGCCAAGATCCTGCAGAGCTTCTGCAGTCCGTCCCCCCCCCCCCCCCCCCACCTCCCCTTCATTCCCCGTCAGACCAGAACAAGGCTAACATCAGCACCGCAGAGGAGGGCATCGCATCCGACGTCCCGCCCCAGCAGCCGGCCTCCGAGAAGCTTGAGCCCGGCAAGACCGACGCCGGCAGCGGCTCCTCGCGCCCCGTCACCCCGAACAAGGCCAAGAAGGAGCAAAAGGCCATCGTCAAGATCCCGAGCAAGGTGATCAACAAGGCCGTCGGCCTCGCCATCTTCACCACCTTCCGCGCCGGCTTCCAGTTCTCCGGCGCCACCGGCTCCGGCGTCCTCATCGCCCGCCTGCCCGACGGCTCCTGGGGCCCTCCCTCGGGCATCCAGGTCCACGCCGTCGGCGCCGGCTTCATGATCGGCGCCGACATCCACGACACCGTGCTCATCATCAACTCCCGCGAGGCCCTCAACGCCTTCCTCGGCAACCGCGTCAGCCTGGGCTCCGACGTCGCCGTCGTGGCGGGCCCCTACGGCGCCGGCGGCGTCATGGACGTCGGCGCCAGCTTCGGCGGCAAGTCGCAGAAGGAGGGCGAGCAGAATGCCGCGGACGAGGCCGCCGCCGCTGCTGCTGCGGCCAAGCCTGCGGACGACGGCAAGCTGAAGCCCGAGGACGACAAGAAGGCGAAGCGCAGGAGCAGCAGCACGTCGCTGAAGCCCAACTTCTCCTACGTCAAGTCGCGCGGCTTCTACGCCGGCGTCCAGGTCGACGGCACCGTCGTCACCGAGCGCAAGGACGCCAACGCGGCCTTCTACGGCCAGAAAGTGTCGGTCGACCAGATCATCAAGGGCCAGGTCCCTCCCCAGGGCCCCGCCGGCCAGTGGCCCGGTGGCGCGCACCTCTTGTACGAGGCCCTGCGCACCGCGGAGGCGCAGCAGCCCCTCCCCGAGGCTAACCTGCCTCCCCCGGCCCCCGTCCCGGCCACCGGCCCCGTTCCGACCACCAGCCCCGGCCAGGCACCTCCGGGCTACGGCCAGCAGTCGCCCCCGGGATACGGACAATCGCCCCAGGGCTACGGGCAGTACCCCCAGGGTGGCCCGCTGGGATCCCACCCTCCCCAGAGCGGCCCGACTGCCTCGGGAGCACTGGGCGACGAGCAGCTCCCGGGCTACGTCGAGGACAACGTTCCTCGTCCCGGCGTGGGAGACCACAAGCAGCAGTACCAGTGAAAAACAATAACGAAAAGCGTCATGACTTGAGTTTGTGTATGAAAGTTGCGCGATGAGATATCCCTGTTGCACGGCCGGTTGCAGCTTAGAGCTTAGATAGCCCCCTCAATGACATAATTTCTTTCAATAGCATAATGAGCAAACCCGAGGAATCTGTGATGTGTGCCAGTATCGCTTAAAATTGCCCTCTCCCCATGACACTGGTGTGTCATCCACAAATCCATGATGGACAGAGTGAACAGTGGCACGTCGTTCGCCGTCGTCCGGGTGTACTATGGAAGTAAGTATGTAGCCGAGACATCGCACCTCGCAGTTCGACAACTCGGCCAGACATTCTCCGGCGTGCCACAGACGGCGCAAGACGGCAACAGATTTACGGTGTGCATAATGTGACCAACGAGGAGTGCTGCCACAAACTCCGAGTAACCTTACAGATACATCTGTACGATTTGCATCTTAACTCTTCAGTTGATCGCTGCTGTCCTGGAATTCACGCCAGGAATCAGTCGAGGTAGGCGTATACTACTGAGTGTTTTACGTGGTCAAATTGGCATGACGGCCATCGAACTTGATATTCAACCCCCCCCTGCGTAACGCGAGAGGTTCAGTTGTTTCTAAATCATACGGAACCTGCAATAATTTGTGGCTTTTTTTCTGCAAGCTGCGCCAATGTTCCAGAGATGCTTCAGAGATATTGAACCTCGCCCTGGTTGGTCGCATGGTTCTGCGCTAGTAGCCCATCGAGTGCCATGTTTCAACCGACTGGTTGCCAAAGCACCAAGCCGGCGCAGGAACGCATCGTTGATTGGGAAAACAAAAAGCAACGGCCACAGAATAAGCAACCTCTGGATCTGAGTGGTCCCCCTCCCTTGGTTGGAGAAAACTCCTTGCAGGCTCGAGATCATGCGGGGTGTGTACCAATTGCCGGTAGCAAACCAAATTCTATCCATACCGGCGAAGCTCACTTCAAGCCTGGCATATTGGGTGAGCTGCATAATTGACGGTTTACACAAGAGATGCCACGGTCGATGCGTGCACCACGCCACCGGCGAGCACCCTCTGGTGCTGTTCTCGAAAGGCGCCACAGGATGGGAACCCGCAGCGCTCGGCCAGCGATCGGACCGACGAAGTGAGGCGGAAAGAAGCCAGCAGATCGTGATATCCGCCTCCTAGCCTTTTTGGGCAATGCGGGATCAGGGTCACCGGTGCGGTACGGCGCTCACGACACGACGGGTGGGCCCAAGTGCCGGCCGGTCGCCGTGCGCTCCCGCGCTGTCACAAGTTGAATGCACAAATCTCAATTGCAATTAACACGAGGCCATCGTCTGTCGTCGGTTGAGATGCCGTAGGGGACAGTGCCGTTAACCCAGGGTAGGGCAGATCATTCGGTCTCTATGAAACGGATTTGTATGTGATCCACAGGGGGCCGCTGGGACAGGTCGACAAATTCGGACGAAGTTCATCGAGAGACACTGTCTTGATCCTAAAAAAAGACTTCCAGTGACGGTCACAAGGCTGGTTCAGGTCTTGTTTTGGCCTGGGCTTGCGTGATTTCATGAGCTTAGCTTTGTAGACTATTTCACATACCCCGCTGGCATTGGAATGCTGGATGTCATTCCTGCATTCCGCCCGGCACCAGAGAGACGGGACGTCGCATTAGTGACGATTGTCTGGACTTTGCCCGTCTCGCCTGGGCCGCAGGTTCGGAACACGGAAGAGGTGGATTGTATGCCCTGGCGTGAATGCCCAGGTAGGCTGAGCGAAATAACAGTTTGGCCGCGATGTTGGTGCAAGAAGTCGAGATGGACGGCGACCAGGGTTGTACTGAGGACGTCATCGACTCCACGGTGATGAGACGCCCAGGATGTGTAGCATTGGGACTTTTTGGGTCTTTCGGTACCCCGGTCTCCAAAGCAAAACCTCAGCGACACATTCGCTGTTCAGTCCTCGCTTCGGCCTTTCACCGGCCGCTCAAGAACCCCCCTTTTTTGGGCTTCCAGTTGTCCACAACCCCTTCTTCATCTGACATCCCCACGCCAAGGAAAGGTCACTCGAACTGATGCTGAGGCAGCGAACAACTGGAGACTGATTCGTCAGATCGTGTCAGGTCCATTGAAATGGTCTCCAGTGTGGTTTAGGTGGGCAGATGAGCAGGCCGATCGCCAGGGCCCATTGATGCTGCTCGTTTTTCCCTTTGTTCTGGGGTTTGAGCTTTAGTCGACCATCGGCTTGCATGCGACGACCGGCGTGTCGGTGCCAGAAGCCGCCATCGTCTCCTCCGGGTGGTTTTGGGACGATTAAGCTCAGGGCCAAGTCCAGGTGTTTGCAGATGTTTACAGTGACTGACCGGGTAGAGCTGGACAAAATTGACTTTCTGTGATCCTGAGCTTCCCGTCTCTCTGGGCAGGCGTTGGAAGGTTTGGCTGAAGCCTGCAGATTGGCAGGTTAGGCTCGCTGAGCCGAAAGTCTGTACTGGATGGACCAGCTGCCGCTCCAAGCACCCGCCGCTGTTTTGGGTAGGGTGGCAGCGGTGGCTAGCAGTTGAAATGGAGATACATAGCCTTGGCCTGAAGGGGCACAAAGACGGCGTGTCTGTTGTCAGAGAAATGCTGATCGGCCGCGGTTCGCAGCAAGATCCGCGTCATGTTTCGTCAAAAGGGAAAGAATCAAACGGAGCCGGCACCATCCCTGATTCGAAAGTCGTTGTCTGTTGGGAATGGTTTGGCAAGCCTGGGATGTAGCGTCCAGAGTCGGACTCGACAGCCTGAAAAATGATTTGTCGCAGGGAAAGGGACGTCCACCGCCATCAATCCCTAGCACCGTTCCTCCCCTATTGGGGTCCGTTCAGGGACAGAGCAGCGGGCAGACAGCGGCCATCAGCCAACCAGCCCGAGGTGAGCGGCAATCGATGCCTCCCTTATTTTTTCCTCTCCTCTTATTGCTGCCGATCTCTAGATGGAAAGCATCTGGTTGGCCGCAAGGGCGCATTAGCATATCAAAAAGCTCCGTAGACGCTGGAGGTTGGGCTGTTGGATAAGGAGGTGAGAAGGCTAGCGTGATAGGCATAAGTGAAGATCAGAGCCGCTTAAAGTGTTGATGCTGGAACACGAGCGATGACATTCTGGAAAAAAGACTCGTCGGTACGTAGTTGGCGAGGAGCCGTGGGTGTGGCCTGTTGGGAGGCTCCCAAGGCTCCGTTGGTTTTGTGGGCGTCTGATGTCTGAACGGTGACGGCGTGCAGGAACAGGTGCAGAGTGCAGCAGCAGGCACGCACGCAGCGAGTGACAAGCACAAGACCAAAAAGTGTGTGTGGTTGTTGGAGTCCGCCGTTGACATTGGCCACTTTGGTGGAGGCGCTGGCTAGTACTGGATCAGATCGTCTGCTCCGGATGATGACGACGCGTAACTCGGCCCAGTTTTTGCGCTGCGAAAAATAGCAACGCTTCTGGCGCACCCGTGAGGCGTGCATGCGTTTTTTTGGGGTTCCCGAGGGTTTCATTCGGAGTAATAGACGGGTGGCAGACAGGCGAGATGGTGGCACTGAGTAGGCAGTGTTTGTAGATTTTGTGGTTTTGTGGACAGCACAGCGGGTACGAGGTTCCTTGTAGGAAGGTCGATTGCGCAGAGTAAAAGCTTGTTAGTGTGTCCAGCGGCTCAGCTCCGGTCAGCTCGTAGATGACGATGGCAATGCAAGCTGGGTGCGAGAGTCATGGCCGACGGCGGCTCCAGGGCACCGAGTTCGAGGTAAGTTGCCAGGAGCAGGGCCTTCGGGCGGCAAGCATCCGGGAGGCGTGCGTGCTGAAGCTGGACGGCAACGGCATCGGACGGCGGAGCTGGCAGCAGCAGAACAGGATCTGGAGACCTTGAACTGGGGCTTTTTGACAGGACAAGACGACAGGACAGGCAAACCGTCGACAGGGAGGCGACCGGCAGACGGCGACTCGGACCCACGAGGCAGTGGTTGACAAACCCCACGGTGACGAGGGTGTTGGGTCACTGAGGGTAACGGAGGCACAAACGGAGGTCTGGGATTAAGACGCATCGACAGTGATCAGCACGACGTCGATTGAGTGCCGAGTAGAGTTATCTGGCAGCGTGATCCGTCTGGGCCTCGCGATGGAGCACTGGAGCAGCATCCAGAATTCGGGAGCCCTGCGATGCCATGCCATGCTTGGTGGTCGCCATGAGGCCGCTAACAGTATTGGCAGACGTGGGCCACGGCCGAGTGTGCCGTGTTGTGTGTGCGAGTGAGCGATTTCGACGTGTCAATCTCGAATTTATGTTTGTACTGCGTAGTAGAATATCTCTCCTTGGGCAAGGACCCATGGCGATGATGGTGTCAAAGTCCAATGAAAAGTCGTCTTTTGTGTGTTTCTTCCCGGCGAGATTGGGGACGGGTGTCGAGCTACCCGTCGCCGCGAAATTGACGAGATTGGAGCGGCCCACGGGAGAGAGATAGCCAAGGATTCTGGAAGGGGATGGCTTACCAGCAGCGGCAGCAGCAGATTGATGAAATTGGACGGGTTGGGATTGCTGGCATTGGCGATGATGGGGCGTGGTGGTCTTCTGGGTGGTGGACGCGGGTGGTGGTTTGCAATGGAAAAATTAAGATTGGGGTCGCTCGGCACATGGAAAGGAGAGATTGCGGTGATTGCAGGTTGGAGCACGGGTACGGGAGCGGTACTTGACGGGAAGCGGTGATTTGGCCGGGACGAGCAGGTACTGGAGGGGTACAGGGGGCAAGCTGGGAAAGGAAGCGGCTATCGAGACGCCCTCCTCCTGCCATCTGGGAATAGGAAGGAAGCAGAGCCAGAGCCAGAGCCGCTCTCCCCCTGAGAAAACGGTGACGGGTGGCCAATCACGTTTTTTGGACAGAATTTGTTAGGCACTGGGAAGGACATCCTGGGAGGTCGCACCTTCCAATCGTGAGCGGTTCCCTCGAGCACGTTTGTCGGGCCACGCGATGGCGATTGGATGGCGATTGGATTCTGGTGGTCTGT